TGTTTCATGGGTATCGTAGCCCCATATTTCTCTTTCGAATGGTGAAAACCGCACCTCTCTATCTATCACCGTTCCGGAGCTATAAGGTCAACACTGACCGGCCATTCTATTTTGAAATGGATAGTAGGTATGAGTATATCATTATCATCATTATGATTTTAGCTCCGTTTTTCTAAAAGCATGAACATAACTACTTACCAATGATTTGAGTTTATTACTAGCATTATTGAATGCACGTTGACATTCATCAATAATATACCGATAGTTCGTATCTTGTTCTCGTTTAAGCCATAGCTTTAAATGTTTCATTATTTCCTCGTCTACGTTAATATTATTATTATGACTAATGGTCAATGTTTTTGCAGATGTATCGAACGATGATGCTATCTGTCGATCATAATGCACATCAGATACATCATAAAACGTATTTTGGATTAATTGCTTATTTTTTTGTGTCCTTCTATTATTACTACCGTCTCCACCACCACCACCAATATCATAGTATGATTCATTATGATACCGTGTTCTGTCAGATGAATGTTTCGTATACTGATCTTGTCTATTAACTGCTAAAGCTAATGCGATGATAACAATGAAAGCACAAATAACAAACCAAAAGAGAATCATTTTTTTTAAAGTTGTTTTAAAACCTTGATGTTGTCGACTGTATAAGAAGAATGCACAAGAACTATTCGAATAATCAGAGTAACATACGGGACCTTGTGTTTGTATTAAATTCAAATAGACCTCAAATGGTACGTAACGACGATATTTATTCAAAAACTGTTTATGTGATTTGTTCCATATACGATAGCGCTGTTTTGTATAATTAAAACATTTCAAATCGGTATAAGCCGTGTATAAATGACTTGTCTCCGATAAAGATTCAGAGGAGAATGTTGATGAAAAGAATAAATGTTTGAAGTAAATTTTCGTTTGATTCATGATCGAATTTACATTCTTTTTCACTTTGTTAATAATACTGGATTTTTTTGCCGACGTTTCCAATGATCTGACTTTGTCTCTCGCATTTTCCGTAGCCGATGGTTTATCATTTTCATCATTTTCTGACTTAATAATGCTTCTTAATTTTTCGTTCATAATTTTAGCCATACTTGATTTTTCTAGTTTGAATGAATTTTTCAATGATTTTGCTTTATTTTTCATTTTATCGATAACTGATTTATCCTCGTCATTTTTCGTACCAGAATGCGTTAATTTACTTAATTTATTTTTCATTTTTTTTGCCATGCTTTCTTTAACCTAAAACATTTATAATTAATCAGATATTTTCAGAAATGTTCACTACACTTGAGTAATTTGCATAACCATTGTACGGAGTTGGTTCACGCAATGTTTCATTTAGAAAATCCGTTCCACTCAACGATAATTATTTTTATTTTGGTTGATTTGAAATGAACATACAACTGTGAAAGGATAATGTCATTTTTACTTGCCATTCTAGAGACATGGCTCAAATAGAAGACAATACCAGGATTTTAGCTTCATACATCTTCAAAAACACTTGTTCTAAAACTGATATCCAATGGCTTTTTTTAATAGCAAAAATTTCCTTCGCACGCGTTAGCTGTTTTTAACGCATTTAACAGCCTTAGATATTAATAAACTCATATGCGTTGACCGACTTAAAAAGAAAGTTCTAATGCATTGACATGCGTTAAATTTTATATACCAAAAGTAAACGAAAAAATTCATATCTATTGACAAGTTATTAATGCGTTAAAACGAATTAAAATGGATAGTTTAACGCATTAACCTAGCGAAAAAGTTTTAGTTTCACATTAAACTTTTAAGGCATTTCTTGTGTTAAAATTAAATTAACCAAAAACACTTTTAACGCGTTTGAATAATTCTGATTTTTAACGCCTGATAAACTCAATGCTCTTCAACGTGTTAAAACTCTTTTAATGTACCTTAATGTATTAAAATTTCTTAATTAATGCGAACACATTGAGCTTTAAGGCATTCAAAGACCTTGAAAACTTTTAAGGTGTTTGCAGGTTTTAGTGTGTTCAAATGCATTTGAAGACATTAGATTTCGAATGTATTAAGCCTTTTAATACATTTTAACGTATCAAACTTTTTGAATTCGTGTAAATGCAAGAAATCTTAATTCGTTTGTGTGCATTAAAACTCTTCAAGATCTACAAACGCATTGCAATTTCTGCATATATTTCAATTCGTTAAAACTTATGAGATTTGCATGAATTAAGCAGTTTTAACACGTTTAAGTACGTTAAGAAGCTTTTTTACATTAAAGCACATGAAAATCGTTTCCTTCACGAAAACGCATTAAACTCCAACGAATTTTGTATTCATATGAACAGAAGGCTCAACTGTTCGGAAGAATCCCTAAAGCCCGTGGAATATGTCTGCCTTGGTAGAAAGGGCCGTCCTATACCAAACTTTTTGAGAGGAATCGAATGGTGATATGAGAAAGAGTTGAAAATGTTTCCTTATGGTATGTGAATACGGTTTTCGTTTTTGAGGTGTATTAATGTGTTCACACGCATATGAACGCATTAAATGAATTCGAGCCCATGTGAACGAATTAAATGGACGAAATTATTTTTTAAGACATTGTGCAGAGAGAAAATCTGCAACTTATTTAACTTACTCATCTTACCTAAAAATGTTCGATTGAGAGAAGTTACACGCAAACTATAATTTGCGTATAACTTGTCCTTAGAACTGGTTAGTTTTCCTCCGAGAGAGAGCGTCCTTGAAACTGGAACTAGTACTTTTTGGTGTGCTCGAATCCAAGAAGCTGGTATCTTGAACAAGAAACGAGATTTAGTGAGGAAAAAACCAAACTATCCTACACGTCTAATGAGATTATGACACACTTTGAAAATCTCAAAACGTTTGTTGGATAAAGAGGACTTTCTTTCGATTTGTTCAATAATGAGAAATCACTGACAGACTTTTGAGTGCTGAAAATCTTTTGTCTTTTACAAGCTATTTTTATTGATACAGAAAAAAATATCAGCCGACGAATCTTTACCAACTGAGGACAACACCTATCACCTTTTATCGCAACGAGCGTTTCAACAAATCTAAACGTCATGAACAACAATAATGGAGAGAAATTAAAATACATCTATGGAAATTTTGTATGCTTTGTTGTACACACGCTGTACGTGTCACTTTTCTTCGCATGTCTTCCAAGTTAATGCATTTAGCAGCTTTCAGTTTTTTGTAATATTATAATGCGTTTTTACATATCCAACTTGTTCAAATGCCTTATTAACTACACCATTTAAACTTCTTAAAGCTTTTAACGAGTTCGAATACGTTCAGAAATGAACGCGTTAATTCTCAAGGCGTTCGAAAGTATCAAAAGAATAAAATTATGCTTTTGAGGCGTCTGAACGCATGAAAAATGGTAAGTTTAGATGCGTTAGTTATTAATCGATTTGAAAGTCTTGACTTTTTAAAATGCGTTTGCAAAATTAAAAAATTTAAGGCTCCTAAGTGCATTAACTTCTAAGGCATGCGAAGGCGTTAAAATTTTGTTTTTTATTTATTTAATGTGCTCACACATATTGAACATCCGAAATATCAATATTTATGCGTTCAAAGGAAATTTTTAGTATAAAAAAATCCACTGAGTATTCAAATAGATTTGTGTTCGAATTTCAAGAAATCTGTAGCTACGAATATGAGCTTTCTGAATATCTAACTAAAATTTCATTTGAACAAATTTTATACAGAGCTACTTTCACAACACATACTTTTCGATTTTTATGTCTATCGACATTGGAATCGAGTTTTCTCAGTGCGTTTTTGACTCTTAGACTTCCTGTCTGCATCGAAAGATCAACGATTGGAAGAAGATTTTCAAGAATTCTGCATTTCTTCACAGTTTGTCCATCGATATATTCAAATTTGTTTTTAATACAACTTGGGATGCACATACCCAATCGACTTGAAACTTTTACCTCATTACAGCATTGAGGTTAGCCATCAATAAAATTTTCAAGTATTAAAACCATATCGATCGAAAAAAATGTCCATCGACATTAAAAGGACTGTAAGTCTATCAAGACTTGATCGAATATCATATATGAATTGACTCGTCTTTAGAAGAGACTGCTGACTTAGTTTTATAAGAACATATGTTGATTCAAATCTAACATATCTCGAAGATCTCACGATCCTTCATGATTAGAGTCCAAAAAATCTTTCTAAATTTCTATCATGTAGATTTACTCAAAAGTTATGCCATTCAATTTAGCTCGTCAAACTCTATCGATTGATATAGAACAGAATTTTTTCCTGTTCTTTTCTAATCGTGTTGAACCAATTAAACTTTAACTGCGATTACTTATCCTAAAACTTACTTATTAAAAATCTTTCTTCGTTAGCTATGTAAGTAAATGTTCGGAAAATAATGTTTTTATAGATGATCAACATAGCTCTATCGAATGTACGACTCGGATTTTTTCTCTCTAAAACCTTATTTTTTCTAATTTTTTTTTTCGAACTGTACAATGGCTATGTAAATCATTCACTTATACTCTCAATTGACAATCAATGGCTTACTGGAGTTCTGCCTTTCAGTTTTAAAAAATAGAGCTAATATAACTTGATACGTTTCTTATTATTTCTTTCTACTATTCTTTTCTTACTAAACAGGCTATAATCTAAAACCGAAATTCATGTAGTTCTAATACTTACTGGTCTGAGTTTTTCTTTGACTACTTTGTGATTAATATCTGATGATGTGCTCTTCTGTTTTTTTTCTGATGAAGAGACAATTGACTTCACTTTTGTTTTGACCATTTTATCAATGGTTTTCTTGAGACGGTGAGCGCTTTCTTTCACTTTATCCATGACAGATGATCCTCTCGCTTGTAATTCATCAACCTTGTCTTCAATATTTTTCTCCATACTTTTTTTCAGTATAACATTTTCTTGCATATTATCAATGATGGACGTTGTAGATGGCTTTATGATTTGTTTTTTTGCGGTATTCAATTTTTCTTCCATTGTGTCATTTATATTCTCCTCATTTTGTTTTAATTTTTCTTTAACATTAATCAATATCGATGATTCTTTAGTATTATCATGATTCGGTTCAAGATCAGATTCATCAATCTCATCATTTGCCACAAATCTTCCTTTCACACTTTGAGCACTATTCACGGCTGGCTGAATAATTGTGATGATCTTTTCTCTGATATCACGTGTCTGTTCTTTTAAATTTCGAAGATTACCTTCAACAGTTCTAGTCAAATGTTCCTAAAATATTAAGAAAAATCGAGTATAGATTAATTTGTGAAAAACTCGGATTGAAAAGTTGAAAAGCAATCTGACAACGATAAACGTACTATTTTATCATTACTACTATCCATTTCACTATTTTTGTCTTCATTGCTTGGTTTTGAGTTTGATGTTTGTGATAATGATTGCAGCGTCTCTTTAGTATGTTTTCTCACATTCTGTTGTCCTTTAAAGTCTCTCTGGGCAACAAATAATGCGTTATCATCATTCAAATTATAATCAGAAAACATACTGATAAAACGTTCATAAAAATTCATGCTGAACGGTTGCATCAGATGCTGTATATCGAACGAGAATGCTGTATTGTCGTCATTATCGTTAGTGTTCGTTAATGATATTTTATTAATAAGTTTATTTTTCGAAACACTCTCCTTGTTATTTATATTTAATTTTTGTTGTTCGATTAATGATTGTTGTTCAAATGCTTTATTTGTAATATCATTCTAATTCAGAAAACAAAATGCACACAACTAATCTCTAATTATTAGGATAAAAAAACGTTACAACAAAAAATGATTTTCTAAAAAACTTATACTGACGTTTGTAATACATATAGCTTTTTCTTTTGGAATTAAGGGCTCCCCCCCCCCAGAAACGATGATCGTCGGACAAAAAAATTCATTTTGAGATAAGCACATGGAAAGATAGCCTGAAGTGTGTACTTTCAGAATCTATATCGCTTTTGGTTACAGAGGTGATTTTTCGCGGTTTTCGAGCAAGTTTTCTAGGAGCTCCGAAAAACCGAATCTTCAAATAATAGTTTTTTCTGGATACTTATACAATTAAATTTTTTCTCAACGCGTAAATTGTAGAGCAAACTTTTCTGATCAAAATAAGACGTCGCAAAACTCTGTATAATCTTGCATTAAAAAGTTAAAGGCATTTTCCTAAAAGCCCTAAAATTGAGCATTTTATACAGCGTTTTCTCTACATGTGAATTACATCTGAAGTATTTCCTAAAATTTTTTAATATGCTTCAAGCTAGAGAGTTTGGGTTTATTTTATTTTAAACTAGACACCTAGCTATATGGGCTGACCGGCACCGATTTTTTTTGGTCTTAGTTGTTTGTCAAATTCAGGATTTCTAGAAAACCAGAAAGCGTTCTTCGGGTTTTTGAGGCTGTTGGTTGTCTACAAAACGAACAAGGACCTTAAATGAGCAGTGAAGAAATAGTTACTATTTTCTATATTTCGTTAAGGACTTAATCGTCACCTCTCAAAAACGCTGACAAAGCATCACTGCAAATCTCGAAAATGTTCATGCTGTAAATGACTAAAACAAAATCGATCCTCTAAATGTATAAAAAAATGATTGAAAACTAATTTTTCAACTAAACTGACGTTTTTGTCCCGAAAACGTATTAATCAAAAAAAAAAACCTTCTACTTACAAGTGCACTGGACGACGTTTGGGGCTGATTTCGATCTTTCACACTTGCAACTGTCACTGCTGACGGCGTTAGTAAAAACAAACACTGTAATAATATCAAAAACGCAAATGTTGACTGCCAAACATATTTTTGTAGACGTTGCACTTTTTTCTCATCTTCAAGATTATAATTTGGATAATATATCTTAATTATATATCGTTCAACATAATTATAAACGGTTGTATGAGCTAATTTCGTTAAGAAATACGAAAATACTGAACATAACCAAAACAATGGAAATAAAATGCTGTGAACAGGTGTAAACATGAATTTTAATACGGAATATACAAGAACTTGTATTTTAACTAAACTAATTAGAGAAATGATAAAACCAATTGTAAAGAGAATGTAATGTTGGTAAAAACGAAATTTTTTATAGTCGATTATACAAGATTGTTGAATATAGGCAATACAAGAAGTAATTTGATATACAAAACGACTGTTCATTATCGTTGTGACAGACGGGGAAGGATCTGACTGTAGTGGTGGTGGAACGGTTGGTGGTACCAGTGTGGACATTTTTGTGCTACTACGAATCTAATTTCGTTCGATCGATGTTTCTAAATAAACAAAAAATACTAATCAGCTGCATGTTCAGATGTTCCCTAGACCAATTTGTTTTATCTTAGAAGTTAAATAGATTCTCCCAGCTGTGATCTAATCTACCTGAAATTTTTTCGAACGTCCACGCCGTAGAAACGTGCCAAATAATTTATGCTTGCCAGTAGGTTAAGTGTCTCCACGTATGCTCGAATAGGAATCTGGCTATTTTTGTATCAGTGATCTCATCTACTCATGGTCAATAGTCGTCATTGTCTGAAAGTGAATCCACTATCAAACATATTTCAGTTACTTAATCTTTTCATTTGTTTTTCTTATTCCACCGTCTTCTCGTATAATCTATCGAATGTATCTTCACATTGACCAGTGCTATGACTCAGCACCGGATGCTACTACTTCTTATAGGACGAGAAAAAATTTCTAAGTTCCCAGAAAGTCCTAAAAGTTAGGATCCTATAGCGTCCTAGTAAGAAATAGATAGTCTAGGGGACTGTCTAGTATTGAGTGTACAAGCACAGTATGTGTAAAGATACCCAAAAAGTAGAGTTTTGCACCAGGGACCATCTAGAGAAATGATATACTAGCTTTTAACTATAACAGTTTATAACGTGTATTTTATACAATGTAAGATGGGCCAGCGTCATAAACACTTTTTTTCCAAAGTGACTATGTATGATCGATCTAATCCACAGATTTTCACACCGTTGAAGTCCAAAAGTTTGCACCTACTATTTTCAAATTCAGTAACACCGTATAAAGAAAAAACTTTTCTAAAATTTGAGCAATCGTTATTCGGGATTACCTTATTTAAACAAATTATCTTCTGTACCATCGTCCTCAAAGCACAATTAGTGACAAATAACTTTGGGTTCGTCTAAAAGATTGTTGAGAGAGATCTAAGAGTCTATGTCTAACAGTTTAATTATATTTAGTTTCATATGACAATACGAAAAGTAATCAAAATGTATGCGTTTTTACTGAAAATGAACATATGCGATGCTGAGCACTGATTAGTCGCATTTGTCCTGTCCATGCATTTTTTCGACTCAAGGACAAAGTAAATAGGACGAACGAAAATCAATTGAAAGAATTACACAATCTTCTAGACTCTATGTAATCATTGACAAACAATACTTATCTCAGACAAAAAAAAGCTCCCGTGATAACTCATCGATTAACAATCAGAGTCTGATACTGCTGAATTTCGAAGATAGACTAAAACGGAAATATATTCCGAAATCACAAGCTTAGTAGTCCTGATTTTACTAATATTAATAAAAAAAATCAAATTTTTTTTTGCGAAAGAATCATTTACTTGTATGATGTACTCTTCTTTATTGTATCTAGTATCGTTAAAAAAAAAAAAAGGTCGCATGTTTCTGTTCTGTATAGTGTCAATTGAAATATTTTTACAAGGAAGAAAGAATAAGATCACAGAAAAGACACTGACAGTTGGATGTTTGATGATATTACGTTATGTTTGAACGCTTAAGACACGTTTTAAAAAAAAATGAAGAAGAACGACAAAAAAAAGAAAGAGAAGAGTACAAAACCGATTACTATTATATATACAAAAGGAAATATAAATTCACTTAGAGTCTCAAAGAATATTAAACAGATGTTTTTATAAGAAATAGTCATTTTTTCGTATTTGTTTCATCTAAAAACTTTTTCAAAAAAAAGACATCGCTAATTATGTATCTGATGATGACTTTTAATTTATTTATTATCTAAAATAGAAGTACAAGTTTGAATATTATCAAGATAAATATTTAGCACAATAAAATAAAGACATTAGAGTGATATAGACTACATTTTTGTTATATCGTCCCGTCTCGTCTCGCTCGTTGCCACTTTTTAAAAAAAGCTTTTATTTTCTCATCTTATTCAAACACCTTTACAAAGGACTTATTTATTTTATAAGGAAATATTTCTATTATTCAGTTTCATTGCATTCTATAAAAATAAAATACCTAATATAACGAGGTTTCATAGTCAATCTTCACTAGCATATTTATTAATATGAAAATTCACCTGTTGACACGAAATGTATGATTAATAGAACAATTAATGAGACGAGAAAAAGAAAAATTCTAACCTTCTCTAGGGTCATGAATGAAATAATGTATAAATATGTTAAAACAGTGACTAAAACACAAAATTTCATTGTAACTATGTGAAATAGCTAACTATCTTTTCCAACTGATAAAAAAGATAAATAGGAAAAAAATACACAATTGAACGGTATTATTATCCAGAAACGCTATATATATATATATATATAGCATTCCCGGTATACTATATGCGTTAGAATTTCTCTTGATCTAAGGATTAAATGTCAAAAGTCATTTGCTGAATGCTACTTAAACAACTTTACTTAAACATACGTTGTCAATAGCATCTTTCTTTCCAAAGTGTAATTTTAAAATATCCATTTTGACGAATTAGTCGCGCTTATTATCTCTAGATTAAAACAGTTCTATACTCCAAAAGATGTATTTTGATATAAAAAAAACAATATTTTTCTATTTCTCTGAAGTTTTTTTTACAACAAAAATGATACAATGAAATTCAATACCAAAGTAATCGGGAAGATGAATTATATAATTAGATGGAATAGGGAGGAAAAAGAAAATAATACTCATATTTCTCTTTTTTAGTTTCCTCTTTGCTAAAAGTCAAGTAAATGTAAATGA